CATTTTCTTTGTGACTTACTCTTGTTTTGGCTTATAATTTGTCTTCTTCCCGCTCTCAGCATGCCGACAGCAGCTGCACCATGGCACTCACCCTGCTGCCAAGGGGGCAGGCAGCCTCCTTGGAGGCTATATCATTGCACTTTAGCCAACTGTTAAGACATGCTGGAGTAATACAGCACAGCTGAAATTCAGACCATTCTAGGAGGCTTTTGCTGGAACACTTTGTCCATGGTCATTTTAAGCTAAATTAATTTTTTAAAACCTAATTATGGGACATTTTTAAATTTATGCAAAGGCAGAAAGAATACTGTATTGCATTCCTGCCTACCTTCCTATGTCTCTGTTTCAGTGCTGATCAACTCATAGACAATCGTGTTTCACTGCCTATGGTGTTTTACTCATGGTTTTATTTAGATTTTTGATGGATTCATTTCCAGGGGAATGTATACTTTAAATTACAGTTACTTTTTTATCTCTATAGAATACATTGCCTTAATGATTTTATCAGAACTTTCTTCATAAAGGCAAAAGGCATCAGAATTTTTATCCTTCTAAATTAAGCCCATTTGTTATTTTAATAATTGTCCCATTTTATAATATTGTACCATAAAATTTCAAAACTTTATTCATTCAGTCATTCTATACAAAGCATGTCTGAAACATACAGATTCTAAGAATAGAATTAAAGGTCCCTGGACTTGGGTCTCTGTCTCATCACTGACTCTCCCTATAACCTGAAACAATGTCCTTGACCTTTCTGTGTCTCAGTGTCCTGTTGTCCTTAACATAGGACACCTAACAAGACTCTTGTAAGATGTAATGAATGAATACATTTAAATAACTTAAATAGAGCCTGATTCAAAGTAGCTGGTCAATATATGCTAATTTGCCATCTCTGTCATTGTAGTCGTCACTATCATCATCTTTTGTCCCCCAACACTCATTTTACAGAATAGAAAGCTGAGGCAAAGATGGCTGAAGCAGCCCTCCTAGGGTCAGAGAGCAGTTATATCAGGAGGACTTGAGCAAGAAACCACTGTCTCAAATCCTTTGTGGTACTGGCTATACTTTGATGAAGTCTTGTCCTCCAGGATTAATGCTCTGACAGGTAAGAATGATTTATGAAAGAGAGGAAAGATGATTAATAAAAACATGAACAAAGGAACAAATACTTCTGCTAGAAAGCTAAGCCTTAGACAAGTTCTGTGTTTAGTAAGCAAAGTGTTGGGGGCCAGGGCTGTGGTATAGTGGGTAAAAGCCAAGCCTACTGTGCCAGCATCCAATATGGGCACCGGTTTGAGTCCTGGCTGCTCCACTTCCTATTTAGCTCCCTGCTAATAATGTGCCTGGGAAAGCCTCAGAGGGTGGCCCGAATGCTTGGGCCCGTGCACCTACATGGTAGACCTGGAAGAAGCTCCTGGTTCCTGGCTTTGGATCAGCCCAGCTTTGGCTGTTACAGTCATTTGGGGAATGAACCAGCGGATGGAAGATCCTTCTCTGTCTCTCTCTCTGTAACTCTGCCTTTCAAATAAAAAATAAAAAAGAAAACAAAGTGCTATGGGCAGTACATCTCCTCTTTAGTGGAGAAGGTGAGATTTCAGGAATGCTTTTGTTTAAGAAGGGGGATGCTTTGGCTAATGAAACAAGATTATATGCACTAGCAGAAAAGAGAAGAAGGTTCAGGTAGGGGATGAGACTAGCAATAGATCAAGGGAACGTTTGTACTTGACATTAAGAGAAAAGGCAAGAAAAGGAGAGAGATGGATAGGATTATATGAGCCACCAAAGAAGGCCAAACCTAAGGAGATGAGGGTTTGTTTTTTTTTAAATTTTCTTCAAAAACAAGTGAGATTTGACATTCCTAAAGTTTTTATTAATTCACTTACTTTAACTGGTGCTAAGCACTGTACTGTTCACTTAACAACATTACCATTTGGTCCTTAGAAAAATTCTATAAAACAGGTTCCATTATTGATCCCATAATACAGCTGAGGACACTGAGGCCCAGAGAAATTAAATAACCCAAGTCCATTTGCTTATTAATAAACAGGATACCTGGGATTTGCCCCTAAGAAGTCTGGCTCTACAATCAGTGCTCCTAACCACTCTGCAGTGCTGTTCCTGGGTAGTAAAGGCCTGGTGCATGTGTAATCTTGAGGTTTTATGGTGCATATAAATGTTGCCTCCTTTTAAGTTTTTCTATACAAGCCATTGCATAGGAAAACCCTTTTAAAAGGCTGCAATAGTAACCTCATTGCTCACTAGAGCCTGTGCTCTGCGCCAACCCTAGGATACAGAGCCCTGTAAGTCCCAGTTAGGTTTCAGGAGACAGGATGTGTCCACTGGACACAAGGATTGTTATTGTAAGCTCTGCCATAACAGGGTGTGATTGCATTCATTTTAGTTGCAGTCCTAAGATAATACTTGCCTGTTAGTTTAAAATTCAATTATATGACAACTCTGGATAACCATGTGCATGGCAAGTTTATTAATCTGAGATCATTCATTAAACAAATATGTCTGGAGGACACTTGTTCTAAGAGTTGGGGTTGCTTTGTGAAAAGAATGGATCTTTCTCTACAGATTTTCTGTGGAGTTTTTCGTTTTCTTACGAGCTTTCTTCTCAGTCTTATTAGCCACCATAATTTCTCCCAACTTAAAAAGAGAAACAGAAATCAAAAGAAACGTCTCTTGACACCACATCCTTACAATTCCTGGCCCGCATCTTCTTTCCCACCTACAGCCTAACACCTAGAAAACATTGTCTGCTCTCAGGATTGTCTCTGCTTTCTCCATCAGATCTCATCCATCTCCAGACTCAAATCATCCTTGCCTTTTCACAGCTCTTCTTGGTGTCCCTGAGACCCTGTGCACATCTAAAACTGATCTCTCGATCTTCTCAGACCTCCTCCTCCCACACACTTTCTCCACCCTGTGAATAGTGGCTCCATCCTTCCGATTGCTCAGACCCAGAACTGTGGCTTCCTCCTTGAACAGACTTGTTCTTATCTGCCACCATCCATCACATCAGCAAATCCTGTTGGTTTTACCCTCAAAGTCTGTCCAAAATTCAGTCCCTTCATTTCACCTTTTCCTTTGCAGTCATCTCATTCCCAGTCTTCTTCCTGCCCCCCACTATCTGCTGTCAACACAGTAACAGAATGCTTCTTGGAAGACATCACAAAGAATACAAGAATCTTCAAACAGTTCATGGAAAATGCATGCTAAGAGGAAAACTGTATACAGACATAAAAAATTTTTTGACTCCCAAATAAACTTACCTTTTAATTTCATTTTCCACAATCTTTCTGAATCTTTCTCCTACGTCTTCTCTGCAGCAGTATTTCTTCCAGACTTTTTCATTTAGGATGCACTCATATGGATTGCTGTCACACTGCCTTTCAAACAAATGAATACATCATTAAAATAAAGAGAATACACGTTGCACTTGGGCAGAAATTTTGTTCACTGTCAACCTCTCAACACATGGATTGAACGCTAGGCACTGCTCTAGGCATTTGGGAAACAGCAGTGAATATGTGTACCTTCTGTTTCTGAGACCCACTAATCAGAATCTGTTAGATCACATATACCATGAAACTAGGTCCCCTGCAGAAGTAGAAAGAAGGACAGAGAGGCAAGGAGTGCAGGTGGAGGTGGTGAGGTGCAGAGTCCTGTTTCAGATAAAGCAGCAAGGAAAGATCTCACTGAGAGGTTGGCTTCTGGAAGAAGGAAAAGGAAGATGTCTTGTGTATTTTGGAATAGAAACCTCCTAGGCAGAGGGAATAGGAGCAGAGGGTCTGAGGCAGAAGGAGACCTGGGACTGGAGAGCAGTGAGCAAGGGTAGACCAGTGAGGGATAGGGGCAGAGACAGGCCTGCATCTGATCGCAAAGGACCTGGTAGGCCTCACAGAAGCTTGGGTGTTTTGTTCTGCATGAAAATGGGAGGTACGGAAGCAGTCCTGTGTTGGCTTGAGTTCGGTTTCAGCCACTTGTCATTGCAAGTCAGTCATTTCAATCATTCTTATTGCTGTGAATGGACTTGAGAGTATTATCCATTCTATTGTTAATGGATATGTAGGTAATTTCCAGTTTGGGGTTGTGATGAGGGCATGTGTAATCATCCTTATGCACATCTGTTGGTAAACTAGTGTTTGCAAGTATACTAATTTTAAAGAAGTCAAACATATATCAATTCTTATTTGTGTAACTTCTGTGACATAAATGTTAGTTCCAGTGAAGTCAGCCAATCAGTCAATACTTGTGGTACACAGGTGAGGTAGTTCTCAAGTCTACTTTAGGGGTAAAGAGTGAAATGTGCAAAATGAGGATTCTAAGGATATACCAACTAGATTAATGGCCCTCAAGGACCCTAGAATCTAATTGACAGTAAGACACCTGCATGTGCAACAGTAAGTAGTAAGAACAGACAGGAAATGTCAAGTTGTACCATAGGCACTGTGCCCCAGGCAATTGGAATGGGCAAGATTACTTTGGACTCTGACGGTGACAGATTTCTCAATGAATCTGGGCAGTCAGCAGAGAGCATACATGGGATTTGAAAACACATGCAGGGACTTCAGAGACATTATTAGGACTAGGGAAATAGCAAGATTGTCAGTTTGTATGTAAGGGGGCTGTGAGGGTCAGTCTGAATGAGAATAGAGTTTTGGAGCAATGTTACAACCTAGAAGACATTTGGATGATGTGTTTCTCAAGTAAAGTCAACAGCTGCACCCAAATCTTGGAACATGTATGTGGGGATAATTTGAAAAGGCCTTGGAAAATGGAATTAAATCCATAGTTTTTCATAACACACATTTTTAATTTACTTTTTGAAGACCCTCTGTATGCATGGATTTCAAAATTTCTCTTCACCAAAATAAACTTATCTTTTAATCCAGTTTTCCATGAACTTTTTGAAGTATGCTTATATATTTCATATTTCTCATTTAGATTGATAGATTAATGCTGCATTTGCCATATATATGTATTTTTAGACCATCAAAGAAAACTCATCCAGTGGGACTGTGGCAGGCCCTGAGATGGAAAATAAGGCAGGCCAGACTCTGGAGAGCAGCTCGCTAATGACCGAGCTCCTGAGCGACGTCCCCTTCACCTTGGCCCCACATGTGCTGGCAGTGCAGGGCACCATCAGCGACCTTCCCGAACACTTACTCTCCTATGACGTCAGCGAAAACTTGTCACGTTTTTGGTATGATTTCACTCTTGAAAATTCAGTGCTCTGTGATTCGTAACCTTTATGTCTATTTCCACCTTAACAGCTTTAAAAACAAAAATTTTCCTGTTGTATTTAACCTGTTTGATGATCTTCATCATTTCTCTGTTTCAAGGGCCTCAGAAAAGCAAGGATCATAAAGCAAAGAAAATAGCATTATGTTCATTGCTTTGATTTTTGACATAAATATACATGTATAAAAATTGAACTTCTTTCCCCCCTCATAATAAATACTAAAAGGAGGCCACCAAGGTTTTATTAAAGTATATTCCTTTAGCCAGTCTCCCAAACTGTAACATTGAGATAGAGAACTGTGAAAAAGAACTGTGGCATTTTTCTGTGTTACCACCAATCTGCAGCCTGAGCTCAGGGTAAATGTGAAGTCTCTTCTCTGGAGGAAACTTGGATGCTATCCCTGTTCTTCTTATATGGTGTTTATGAATGAATTTTTTAAAAAAAAATAATTACCGGTTGGCCTAATTGCATCAGGCTCAATGTAGACATATGGATGTGGAAATTTAAAACTTTTTCTTCAGCAGTAGCAGCAGTTTGTTAATACAAGAATGCTGTCACTCAGAAGGGCCTTTGACCTGGTGGATCAGATGCCCGTGTCCTGCATCATAGCGTTTGGGTTTGATTCCAAGGTCAGGCCCCTGACTCCAACTTTCTGCCAATGCAGACCCTGGGAGGCAGCAGTGATGACTCAAATAATTGGGTTCCTGCCACCCACATAGGAGATCTGGATTGAGTCCATGACTCCTGCTTTGTCCTGGCCCAGCCCCAGCCCCATTCCTAGCCGTTGTGGGCATTTGGGAATTAAACCAGCAGCTAGAACCCCCACTCTTGCCCATGCCTCTCTACCTCTGAAATTAAAAAAAAGAAGAAGAAAAAAAAAAAGAATGCTATAACTGCCATGGATGCTGCCTCTCGAGTGGTCCATTTCTGTTTTCTCACGCCTGTGGCCGTCCTTTTCACCTTTAGAGAATCCTGTGTTCCCACCTCTGTTCTCTGCCTTTTTAAAGCTAGTTCCCAGTGTGCTTGCTGACCGGCTTTCCAAAGAACTTTGCCTGCTTCCTTCTCCGTTGGCATTTGCTGTCCTTACCACATATGTTCCCAGTTTATGAAGAGATCCACATTTCCTTTTCAACTTCTCTGCCTTCTAAAGAAAAAACATCTCACGATGGTACATATTATTGCTGATAACATCCTTATTTAGAAATTTGTTGGCCACATTACAGATGGAAATGTTTTACTGCTAGAAAAACTGAAATCAGCTTATTTCCAATTAGAGATTAGAGGAAACACCTAGATACAACTTTTCATTTTTAAATATCCATATTTATTCCAACTAAAGCAGAAGAGAAGTACCATTGGTCAACAAATTGTAAAGGGAAGGAGTAATTGTGATAGTGTTTCCCCAGTGCCATGAAAAATTTAAATCACATTCATTGTGAGCAGTGGCAATATGGTTGGTGAATTCTGTGCCAAATTTTAAGTCTATTTTTTTTCACAAAGATAGAGAATCATACAAAACTAAACACTGTGCATAAAGGTACATGAATTATTCAAGTTCTGATGTGTTATGCATGTTTGTTTAATAAATGTAGCGTGGTCTGGAAAAAATGCTGTATTATTTAAAAGTTGAACATTTCTATTGACAAAAGTATACTTCATTTACAAATAGGATTGCCACATTAGGTCAATAATTAAATTATATTTTTCCATACTTTTCATAAAATACCAGCTTAGGAAATATGACTTATTATCACACAGATGTGAACATTTTATAGGAGTTTTTGTGAAAGCACATGGTTTTCATGTATATATGTTAAGGTACTCTTTAAATATAAGCATATAGTCAATCTAATATATGTACTAAATTGTTAAAATAATTGCACATTTTATTTATGTTTGTGTCTACCATGTTCTGAATATGATTGCAAGTACTTTTGTTTGTCTGTAAGAATTGTTATATTTAAATAAATGTGAATTAAATAAATATTTTGATTATTGTCAGATCCAGAAAAAATGAATTTCTTTGCATTATTCATGTACTAATACAGTTATTAATTCTTTAGGAGGAAACAACGTAAGTACATAGTTTGGTACAGAGAAGAGTATGTAGTTTCCTCTTTATGTAAGTTTTAAGGAAAAACATTGAAAATGGAAATCACTTGGCTTGGATTGGTAAGACTGGAGAGATTTGCAGACAATGACATGAATTTTCTAGCGAGGTTCCCATCATCATGGAATTAGTGGTCATTGTTAATGACTTATTCTTTTTTTTTATTTTCATGAACTTTTTTTTATTTAACAAATATAAATTTCCAAAGTACAACTTGTGGATTATAGTGGCTTTTTCTTCCCCATAACTTCCCTCCCATCCACAACCCTCCCATCTCCCACTCCCTCTCCTATTCCATTCACATCAAGATTCATTTTCAATTCTCTATATACAGAAGATCAATTTAGTATATATTAAGTAAAGGTTTCAACAGTTTGCACCCACACAGAAACACAAAGTGTAAAATACTATTTGAGTACTAGTTATAGCATTAACTCACATTTAATGACTTATTCTAATAAAAGTATTATGAAATTATTTGTTTTCTTATCCCATATATAGATCAATATTACTATTTTTAAACTGAAAGAAACATTAGAAATCAACAGTGAACTCTGTTTTACCCAAGAGAAAGTCAAAACCTAAAAAGATTAAATGACTTAAATTACCTAGTTAGTGATAAATGTTTACTTTAATAGTTTCAATAATTATAATATAAAGTATTTAGAAAGCTGAGGGCAGGCATTGGGCATAACATTAAGTCACTACTTGGGACACCTTCATCCCACATCAGAGTGCCTGTTGAGTTCTCTCTCCTCTGCTTCTAATCCAGCTTCCTGCTGATGTGCACCTGCAGATAGCAATACTTGTGTCCCTGCCACTCACGTGGGAGAGCTGGATGGGGGTCCAGCTTCCTGCTTCAGTCTTGTCTAGCCCTGGCTGTTGTGGGCATCTGAGGAGTAAACTAGTTGATGGAAGATCTCTGTCTGTCTTTGCCTTTCAAGTAAAATTAAATAAATAAACAAGTTTTTTTCTTTGAGTATAGCTCAACTGTAAGATGTAGAGGGGAAAGTTGAGGCATTTGAGGCAGCCATACAGAGTTTGTAATGACTTCCTCACTTACAAGCTGAGGGACTTTGAATCTGTCCCCTAACTTCTGGGGTCCTCGGTTCCCTTGCTTGTTAAATGGTAATTATCTATACCCTACAGGGTTGCATTAGATGATACTTGGTGTATGTCAAATGTCTGGCAACCTGAAGCCGGATATACTGTCCATGTTCTGGGTGGACTGTTAAAATTCTTATCAAAGCGCAGTAAACACACAGACTCTAGTGCAGTGAAATGCAAAGTACATGTTAACTGAACTGCTTAAGGAGCAATATCAAAAAATACCCATCATTGGCCAGCACCGCGGCTCACTAGGCTAATCCTCTGTCTGCGGCGCTGGCACTCTGGGTTCTAGTCCCAGTCAGGGCGCCGGATTCTGTCCTGGTTGCTCCTCTTCCAGTCCAGCTCTCTGCTGTGGCCCGGGAAGGCAGTAGGGGATGGCCCAGGTGCTTGGGCCCTGCACCTGCATGGGAGACCAGGAGGAAGCACCTGGCTTCTGGCTTCAGATAAGCGCAGTGTGCTGGCGGTAGCGGCCATTTGTGGGGTGAACCAATGGAAGGAAGACCTTTCTCTCTGTCTCTCTCTCACTGTCTAACTCTGCCTGTCAAAAAAGAAAAAAATACCCATCGTCTAGAACTGGAGGTCCTTGTGGGAAGTGAAATAAGCCAAACAAAGCTCTGGACGACAAGAATTGCACAATCTCACTCACATATGAAGTCTAATATAAAAGGTGATCTGATAGAAGTTAAAAGTATAATTTTGGTTACCAGGGGCTGGGGAGGGAAGGGTATGGGAGAGGGATGGGAAAGTTTTACTAATAGGTTCTTGGAGCCAGTGTCATGGCATAGTGGATTAAGCATAGTTTGTGATGCTGGCATCTCAAATCAGAGTGCTTGTTTGAGTCCTGGCTGCTCCACTTCTGATCCAGCTTCCTGCTAATGTGCCTGAGAAAAAGGCAGAAGCTGGCCCAAGTTGATGGGCGCCTGTCACCTTCTTAGGAGTCCCAGATGGAGCTCTAGGTTCCTAGTTTTGGCATTGCCTTGCCGTTGCGCCATTTTGGGAGTGAATCAGCAGATAGAAGATCTCTCTAACTCTCACTCTTTCTCTGCCACTCTGCCTTTCAAATAATAAATAAATAAATCTTTTAAGAAATAGATACTATATTACAGCTGGACAAGAGTAAAAATTTTGGATTTCTACTGTAGAGTGATTATAGATAATATACTGTGTATTTCTCTTTTTAAAAAACTAGAAGATAGGGTTTTGAATGTTTTTGTCATAAAGAAATGTTAAATGTTTGAAGCTATTGGTGTATTTACCCTAAATGGACATTACACAGTGCATACATATATCAAAATGTCATGTGCATAATTTTTATGTGTCTACCAAAAACTTTTTAAAAATAATTTTTAGACAGCCTAAATCATGATAAACTAGCCATGTTCTGAGGAGGAGACTTACATAATTATCATAGGAATGCACTAACCATACACAGACAATAGTGCAAATAAATGGCCATCTACTTAATTATAGATTCCCCCATTGCAATATTTTCTTCATATTAAATACATAGCTATGGAAAATGCTCCCACACTGTGTCAGTTGACTCTTCTGTCTTTGATAAGAATTCCATAGGGATTTTTTTTCTTATTATCGAGAATTATGGCCTTTTCCTAAATATGTTATTATTGTAAAATATTATAAGTGTAGAATATAGAAACAATTTGACTAAATTTTGTTTTACCCTAAGATATATTCTGAAAGTTGCCTTTTTTTTTGCCAGCTTTCTTTTTAGAGGCAGTTCTGGTTAATTAAATTTTGATTAACTGAAATTTTAAAATTGGAACTTTACAGTATTAACAAAAGCACAATTCTTGTTTACAGTTCTAGAAACACACAATATTTGTTAAGTAAGCATTCATTGACACCAACCCTTTTTATTCTTTCTCACAGTAAAATGATAAATTGAAGCAGTATATATGTGTGTGTGTGTATATATATTTTTATATATACACATATATATGTGTGTATATATATATGTGTGTGTATATATATATATATATACATGTTTTCTAAAAGTTCCAGAGACTTCATTATTATCATTCTAAAGGACAGGTGAGGAGTAACAAGGAAGTAATCTCATTCATGTTCTGAAACTAGCACGTCAACCCTTACACCTTTCCTTCCCGTGATAACAATTGATCAATAAATGGATACATTACTTTCAGAGAATAATGCATTGTCTTATTAATCATACCATTAATAATAACCACATGAAATACAAGTTATTTGATAGGTGGTTGGAAGATGTTATGTCTTTAAAAGCTATTGAGAAATACGGGGTTGTATATATTAACTTTTGAGGGTTTGTTCTTTTATTACTGAAGGCATGACCTAAAACTCTCAGAGTGTCTGACTCTATTCATATGACACTGGCTTGAAGGATGAAGTACTTTTAGATTTCAGGAAAATAAGTCTTGATGCCATATGGTTTGGTGGATAGGTATGTGTGAGAAAGAAAGGAAGAAAATAATGTATTGATTGATGCATAGAAACTGTATTACATTCAATTTAGCAATACGTGAACCATCTTAAAAATAATGTTTTCAAATATATAATAGTTTAATATTTACAGAAAAATTACAAAGATAGTAGAAAGAGTTCCCATACACCCCTTACTTTCTTTCCCCTCTAGTTATTATTTTTGGTTACTAGAGTATGTTTATCATAACTATAGAATCTATGTTGTGCATCACAGTTATTGAAACTCCTCCTGTTCAGATTTCATGATTCTCCTTGGTTAATTTTTTTTCTCTTAGAGCATCCTGTCCAGGGTGATGTAGCATTTAGTCATCATGTCTCCTTTACTCCTCTTTTCTTTCTAATAGAAGATTTTATTTATTTGAGAGGTATAGTTACATAGAGTGAGAGGGAGAGACAGAGAGAGAGGTCTTTCATCCACTGGTTCACTCCTCAAGTGACCACATTGGTTGGAGCTGAGCTGATCTGAATCCAGGAGCCAGGAACTTCTTCCAGGACTCCCACATGGGTGCGCGGACCCAAGCACTTGGGCCATCTTCTACTGCTTTCCCATGCCATAGCAGAGAGCTGGATTAGAAGAGTAGCAGCCTGGACTAGGAACAGGGCCCATATGGGAAGTGGCACCACAGACTGAAGATTAACCTACTGCACCACAGCGCTAGCCCCTTAAGCTCCTCTTGACTTCAACAGTTTTTCAGACTTTTCTTGTTTTTGATGACATTGACAGTTTTGTGAAGTACTGGTATTTTGTAGAATGTCCCTCAGCTGGGGTTTATCTAATGTTTTCCCATGGTTGGACTTGGTATGGGTTTTTAGAAGAAATTATAAAAGTGAACTTATATCATGCTATAAACATGTACATGCTATAAACATATGCATGCTATAAAGATCAGTTGTTGCACATGATAGCTTTGCCTACCTGACCAACGTATTGTTTGCCAGGCTTCCACTGTAAAGTTATTTCCCTAGCTATTTTATGCTGATCTCTTTAGAATTAAGTCAGAAACCACCACCCATGCTGAAGGAGTAGAGAATTAAACTCCATGAATGTGTCTCTGTGGGAGATTTGTCATTTCTCTCCAATGTATTTACGAGTTACTTATTTATATTAGTATAAGCTTATGGATACTCAATGTTTTTTCTAAACCTAAGTCAGTGCTGCCCAAGAAACATAAGTACATTTTTATAAAAGTTAATAAGGAAAATTTAAAACTGTTTTTATGGTATAGATGAGCATCTGATGTTGGATATGATAATACATTCCATGACTTCCTCAAAACTTATCTTCCTATAAATATCAAGG